GGGAACGGTGGTCTGGTAGGGCTGGAGGGGGTGACTGTTCAGGTAAGCATTCTGGAAAGCCATCATGTGGTCCATCACATCTACTCTCTCCTGGTGCCTCAACTCTCACTCTCTGCACGCTCTCCTTTCCTCTGCTCACATCTCCTCCAGCAGCATATTCCTCCACTCCCTGATGTGCTCGCTGGCCAAGTGGGTGGATTGCATTTGCTCCTTGAACGTCTCTTCCCTAGTCCATTTTCATCTGCAGGTTTGTGCCAGGTGGACAGTTGGTGGGGCCAAGGGAGCATACAGCAGGCTGACTGCTGTTCCCGCTGTAACAAAAAGTGAAGGGCAGACTTTTCAGGAGATGCACTGTAGAATGTAAAGCCAAATCTGATCAAATAGAAGGAAGATTGGTCGAAAGACAATAGGGTTGTATTATGTATGAGGCCACAGTTATGCTTTTAGGTGGTCTCTTTGCAACAGGTACTCAGGGGAGCAGCTGGATTCGGTTTGGAGGCAAGCATGGTAAGGGACAGGCTGGGGCACAAGCCCTGCAGGAGGGAGGGGGTGGAGGCCCAGGCATGACAACAGAGCAGAGCAGGGGCTCACATGGTATCCAAGTGTTGGCACTCCCCATTTGTGAGGGGAGTGCGACTTTATTCAAGATGGGCAAATGGAGGTTTACTGCAGGGGGCATCAGCTAATAGCTTCCCTTGCTTCATCCAGGTTGCTAGGCATGATATCAGTCTTCTCTGAATCATACAGAGTGTTAGGGAGGAGATGCTGACTGAATGTGACCAGAAACGTGGCTTTGTGCTGCAATGATGCTAGACCACCTACTGCTGGCTTGGCGTGGAAAGGTATCCTGCTATGGAGGATGGAATAAGGCAGCCTCCTTAAAAAGTCTTGTGAGAAGGATGAAAGAGTTCCTCTACAAGAGCTGCATGGAGATGCACAGACACATTAATAAGCTGTTCCAGGAAGCCTACACTGTGTAGGCAAAGTGGCCACCACAAATCACATCCAATTGCCTTAACCAATTTTTAGCAAGATAAAAATGGTGAACTCAACAGACTGACATGACCTGGGAGGAAGGGATTAGCTCCAATGTTATAAAAGGTTCTTGGCTCTCAGTGACCTTTGGATGCCCCACTCACCTGCTGACCATTGCCCTCCTCCATCTTCTCCTCTACCATGTTGTCCTTCAGATTGTGGCCCAAGACTGCCTAAGGAATGTCTTGAGAGGAATCCACAGTCTGGCTAGTGAAGCTGGTTGGGTCCCCTGGCCCCCTCAAGGATCACATGCAGCTGCTTGTAGAAATGGCATATTTGTGGCGATGCTCCAGACCATCCATTTACCTCCTTTGTCTTTTGGTAAGACTGCCTCGGTTCCTTTATTTTTCACTCAGTTCTGCTGAGCATCCCTGGTGTATCCTTTCTCCTCCATGCCCTTTGTGATCTTGGCTTAGATATCGCTGTTCCTTTTGCTGCTTCATAATTCTGGGAGAACAGATTCCTCTTCCTACGCAGCAATGAGGTCCAGGATCTCCCGCACACTCCATGCTGGTACTCGTTGGCAACCCTGGGAACTCATGGAGCTCATGGTACTTGAACTCATGGTCAGGTGTGCTGCCTGCTTTGAGGTGTGCTCATCACCGGAATTACATTAAGTTTTTCTTGGGGCTTTTTCTGTTCACCTGGAGAACAGTAGAGTTCAAAGTCGTGGTCAGAGCGGTCACTGCAGGGCAGTGTGGGACACCTCCCAGAGGCCAAGAACATCAACTTTTACAGCTCCGTGGAAAGTTGACCATGCAAGATAGAATTAATTTTTTCCTGGGGCCCAGGGTAGACCAGGCCCCAGGGCTATCTAGGAATACTTCTCCTTCTCAGTAGCATTTCTATTTGCCCCTCTAACCGAAGAATACTTTCCTCTGATATGCCACCAACTTGCACTTCATGAACAGGGAAGTCCCTTCTTGTTGCAGACAGGAAAGAAAACATGGCACATCTGCTGCAGGTCACCACAACTGTTCCATCACTGGTCATCTTAAAATCACATGCAGAGCTGAACCTGGAAGGGAAGCCTCTCATTCTCCCTCTCTCAATTCTGTCCAAGACTCTCCTGTTAGCTACTTCTGTTTGCCTCACAAGTGACTTTTTATACCAGATCTCCTGTCTAGCTCAGCTCTGTGTTGTTCCCTCTACCAGGGAGTGATTAACCACTTAGACACTTCAAATAGCAGGGCTCATCAAAGCTCTTAAAACCATTGCAATTCTTCTGTCATGTTTATCCTCCAGGTACCAGAGGTCTGATATGTAGGAATATAATTTCAGTGTGTTTAATCAGGGAGTAGATACCTTGGATGACATGGAAAATGGTGCAATTGAATGCACAACCCTTGTAAATGGCTCACCTACAAAATGGGAGCTGGAAAATAGATGGTATCCTTACTCAGCTCCTCTAGAGCACTCAGCTAGTGAGCTCCCTCAGTTTCCAGTAACTTTATTGGGAGATGAGGTCCCTCAGAACCTTGAAGAACTTCTCAGCAACTTGCAGGATTGGGCCCAAATGATACCTAGCATAGAGTTGCTTCTCAAAGTATCTGCAAGGCATAGGTGTGTCACGGATACGAATGCTACCACACCAGGTGTGTGGTCCAACCAATCTGCAGTCATGAATCCAATATCCTGTCCCTGTGGTCCTGCAGAGTAGCCCAGTACATACAAGTGGCTGAGAAGTGTCCATTGCCTGCTCCCCTATATATCGGGATTGCCCTGGTTGTGCCGTGGTTTGTCTTTTTATGTGGCTGAAGTGTGGTAACAGGATTGCACCTTCCATAAACAGCCTCTCTCCTCTGAAATATAGGCATCTACATTCTCTTGAAATGCACTGATTTGGAACTCTATGTTGCATCTGTGAAATTTGTGCACAATCATTTTTCAGATACTCTTAGCTGCATTAGACTTTCTTTTATTTGACTGGTATTTGAGTAAACTATTGAATGTCTCATTTTTTAGTGTGGATTAAAGACAATGGGAGAGATTGTTAGCAGATGGTGCTCTCTATTGTTTTGAAATGAAGCAAAACAAAATACTTTAAGACATTCGTACTGTTTCATCCCATGCAAACAGTTGAGAAAACTTCCAGCCATGGTAGATACTAACAATCTTATTTATAAACAAACCCACTAGGAATATGTCTGTTCCTAGTAAGGATTTTGTTTTTAGTATCTCTAAATTTTTAAAATAGAAAATAAATATTGTTCATATTGTAGATCTGATGATGATTTTACTGTTTAATTAACAAAGACATAGTTTAGCTTTTCTCTTGTTATAACATACACAGATTTCATACCAGAGATGTGACTATTTACAGTAACCAATGGAGCCAGCTGTCTGGGCTTTGCTCAGTTACCATCTCTGGAGATATGCTATGGAGAGCTGGCCAAAGTTTGGATTAACAAGGGTTACCTAATGAACTGCATGGCAAATATCTGAACAAGCAAAAGAATGCTTATTGAATGGTGTTTCAGGTAAGAAATTTTGCTCCACCCTTGTTCATTATTTGAATGCCTTTATTTTAGAAATCCAGCAAGGAGACTGATGAAAGATGTACAAAAAACAGACTGCTTTGAAAATATACCCAAGGATTTTCAAGGAGAAATTCAGTGGACTGTTTTATCTTTATGGTCTCACGGGGGATTTGATTTCTTCTTTGTACATATTTGACATCAACTTTTTCTATTACATGAATTAATGTATTGGAATATGTCAGATAAATTCAGTGCAGTTTAGCTTATTTGAAAATTTAATGCCACAGAGGTGCCATAATGTAAACACTGAACTAGAGTCTCACATGGTCTGCATTGGCATCTCACAATTGAAGTCACACTAATTTAGATTAGCTAAAGATGTGACCCAGTATGCTTCTTCTAACCCATTGGTTCAAGCCTACTGTTAACCAAGATAAAACCTTGAGCAAGGAAATAGCCTGTCCATTGCATTAGATGACAAAGTTGAATAATGTAAAAAGGGTCAATATTTATTAGTAGTATAAATTATCTGTATTATTCATATACTACTATACTTACTTTCAGTCTTTGAAAATCCTTTTTAGCTAATGAAACACTGTAGCAAAAAACTATGAGGAAAATGCATTTTGTTAACTTTAAAACGTCTTTCTTTTTCAGTAATTGGTACCATTTTCATTACTTTCTGCTAATAGATTACACTTCATAAACAAAGCAGAAAAATAATGGCTATCTGCTCACCCCCACCTATTCCCAACTATACCTAAACAGGAAGTTTCCTTCATAGAAATGCATCCAACCCAATGTATTAGTAACTATGCTGTGCTGTCAAGCTATTCTCATGCTTGTGGAAAGGGTGATAGGATTATTATACTAAAGTGTAATTTTAATTTTCCTATTGATGAATTAACTTATGCCATTGTTAAAAGAGAATTTTCAGATGCCCAAGGGCTTGCTACTTCACTGTGCTGCAACTTTCTCATTCAGGAGTATGAAAAAACACTCCTAACAAGAGCAGCAAGTTACAGAGCTGTAAAGCACCAGAGCAAAAAGGCTGTAAACAGCACTGTTAGCTACTCCCCTCATGGAAGTGATTTACTACAGCGCTGGGAGAGGTCCCTCACCACCTTTACTGCTTTAAACTTAGAAGTGCAGACAAAGCCTAAGGGTGTTGTCCCCAAAACGCTTCCTCCCAGAAAAGTAAGTAGTGACCATAGTCCCATTTCAGGTGATGAAGCTACAGCAGAAGTAAGCATAATAGATGAGAATCATTGTGAGATCAATTGAGAGATAACTATCTTGTACAAAAGAGGAGTGGAGCAGTATCATTTAATATCATGTTCAGACTATCATGTGGGTATGTGGGTTAAAACTGAACTTTCCAGGTACACAAAGTTCAATTCCAGCCTGCGGTAGAATTTGGTGTCTTTAACAATATTAGTTGCATTGTTAAGTTAACTTGTTAATGGAAACCCTTGCAGTACTTACATTGGTGATACAAAAAAGAGCCACCAGGAGAGTGCCAAAGGAGACACCAAATGTGAAAAGCTTTCTATGCCGCTTCAGTATTTGGAAATCATCTGCTAAGCCAGTGATGACAGCTTCCATTCCACCCATCTAAGGAAAAGGAGTGGAATCTAGGTTAGGCAGTAATAATGAGAGACATTTTACCCGCAAACAGAAGGATATAAATACGTTTGAGATTCATCTCTATTTCCTTTTGTGATTTCTAACAATGACCGAGTTTCTTCTTTTTATTTAAAACGTGTTATACCTTCTGAACCCAAGCATCCTTCTTAGGGGCCCAGGTGCTTTGCCCGCGGGGCCCCTCGCCTCAGACGTGGGTCACATTTGCTGCCCAGGTTCTTTGCTGCCAAGGGCAGAAATTATTTTTGGTATTTCCCAGTCATCTGAGCAGAAAATACAACAAATATATAGCCCAGCAGCATCCTCCCCAGCCCTGCCTGCTGTTTATTTGGTGATCCTGGAAGCCTTTGTCCAGGACAACCACCTGACTGCCCACCCCTAAGGCCAACCCTGTTCCTGCTAGGGAGGAACAAGCCAATGTATTTAAGAATCTGGTCATCAATTGTGGAGAAGCAATGGAAGAAATGTCCTACATATAGGAGAGAAATTTGGTAAATCCTTGGGGGTTGAGAGGAGAGGGGAAGGGCAGCAGGATGGGAACAACAACAGTTCTGTTTCAAATCAGCTGCTGAGAACAATCTCCATAGTATGAGAATGATTCACTTCTAAAACCAGAGGGCTGTAGAGGGGAGGGCAAACATTCTTTGAGTAAATCTGACACTGGATGGTAAAATGTTAAAGCATAGTGTAGAGTTGTATCCATCTGACTTCCACAAGCATTAATGGGAATTGTACAGTTAAACTTCAATGCGTTGCTTAATATTTTTCATATTCATAAAGTTTTACTACCCAGCTACTTTGAGAGAATCAAAGATGATAGAAAGGGAACATAGCCTTCAGATTCTCTGCTCCATCCTATCATTACAGAATTGCTTCCTAATTTGGTGCTTTGTTCATTCCAGTTGTTAATGCCCTATGTAGAGATGGTTGCATGCTGATAAAACACAATGTTACAGACATTCATTTTAATTCCTAACCCCTTTAGTTTACTATCCACTAATATGTCCACTAATATGTTCTCTTACCATAAACATTTGGGGGAGTTCCAGAAAACTGTCTCCATTTGTCATCAAGAGGATTTTGTGCATGAATAAGGAAATTAATACATCATTCCTCTTTTTTCTTGTTTTTTTTCCTGGTTTCAGTTATCTAACCAGGGATAACCAATAATATGTAATGTAGGTGATCGAGCTCTCATCATAGAGAGTGGGTAATCAAGAAAAGTGGTCTGCAAACAACACACAGTTACTTGCATAGAACCAGTAAATAATTATGAGCAGCAGGCAGACGTGGCTTTGATGTAGCTGTAGTGCACCGAATGGATTTCATCTTGAATGGTCCCCTGGAATACTTTTTCTTTTGGTAAGAGACAGGATGCTTGTGTGGTAGTGTGCCAACCCCACACAGAGCCTGACTAGAGATAAGGGCCAATTAACCAACCATGGGACAGGCTGCACCTGGAGAAGAGTCTGGGCTGATAAGCTTTTAACTGATGATGAAGCCCAGCTGGGCAAGGAGAAAGCTAAGCTGCTATGATCCCAGGAAACAGAGTAAGAAGGGGGCTGCACTATAGAAGACTTGCAGTTACTCTCTGGGCTTAGTGAGATGGTGCTCGGCCCAGCCATGAGTGCAAGGAACTGATTTGATAACCTTCATGGTCCCTTCCAATTCTAGTGCTCTATGATTCTATTAAAAGAGGAAGCCAAGGATAGGACATCCAAGGGAATGGCATGTCCAGAGAAGGGTGAAGAAGGAGCTTGATAGGAGACAAAATAGGAAGCAGCCCAGGGAAAAAGCAGCAGGTTTTGTAAAAGGGATGTAAATTAGACGTATCGCAATTGCTAATGAAGCGGGGATTTAAATCTCCCCCACTTCGTTAGCATAAAAATGGCTGCCTTTTTTTTTTGGCACGGGGCTTTGCCAGAAAAAAGCGCCAGTCTAGATGCTGATCTTGCGGAAAATAAAGCCTTGTCCAAAAGGACCTCTCATGGATTGATAACTGGCTAAAAGAGAGGAAACAAAAGGTAGGAATAAATGGTCAGTTTTCAGATTGGAGAGAGGTAACTAGTGGTGCCCCTATCTATAAGCTATCTATAAATGATCTGGAGAACGTGGCAAAATTTGCAGATGATACTAAACTGCTCAAGATAGTTAAGAGCAAAGCAGACTGTTCAGAGTTTTAAAACGATCTTACAAAACTAGTTAACTGGGCAACAAAATGGCAAATGAATTTTAATGTTGATCAATGCAAATTGGGAAAAAAATAATCCCTGCACTCCCCTCGCACATCACAGCCTAGGAAGGCCCAAAATAGCAGATTCTGTGTGCTCCAGCCCTATGGGTGGGGGCTGGAGGGGACTGGAGTGCCAGTGCCAGCTCCCTAATGCTGAACCTCAGGGGCTGGATCCAGGCAAGCCGAAGGCCGCATCCAGCCCCCGGCCTGAGGTTCCCCATCCCTGGTGTAAATGATATTGATTTTTTTTAAATGATCGTAACGGGACTATTGTAAAGAAAGAATCTTTCAAACAATTTCATATCTAGGTAATCAAAGATATAATTAATGCTGTTCTCAGTCGTTATCTCATGAGTATCATTTATGATGCTGTGGGAAATAAGAAGTGGAAATCACTGATACCAAACAGTACTGGACCATGGTAGGCCTTGCCGAAGTGCAGGTCAGCATCTTATTCCTGTGCATTTTCCAACTTCATTTTTGGGCCATGAATGTGCTGCTGTAGCAATGGTAACATTCTCATTAGTGTCAGTGATGCAGTATCCTATCCTTAAAGTGGCATCATTTTTTCTGCTTCAGCCCAACCCCAAATCATGTTTCATAAAGTACATGGCCCTTCCCAAGCCTTTTGTATCCTGTGAATCTGAGATTAAATAAACTGCTGAGTGTAATGCTATTTGATATACTGGCCTTAACTATGAAAACAGATACAGTGAGAGCACAGCTTCTAAAACCTAGTGGAATCAGACTGGTGCTGCCATCCTTATTAGCAAAGAACTTTATTAAAGGAAAAATGACAGGCATGGAAGATACTCACAGAACTGTCAATGCCCAGTGTGAGAAGCATTATGAAGAACACCACTGCCCAAAATGTTGATCCTGAAAGGGTTGAAATAGCTTCTGGGTAAAGAATGAAAACTAATCCAGCACCTGAAAAGCAAGAGGAAACTTATTGCATGAGGAACTTGATTAACTTATAAAAATGTTAATGAAAACATGATTTGACCTGTCTAGATTCTTCCATTCGTTTCTCTTTCCATAGTATCTGAATGACTTAGACTCATAGGGTATGTCGCCAGAGGCATGTAAATGAGACATACCGACATAGTGAAGTGGGGATTTAAATATCCCCCACTTCATTAGAATAAAAACGGCTGCTGCACTGTGCCGGCTCAGCTGTTTGGTGGCATGAACCGGCAGTGAAGACGGGGATCAGTCGGCAAGGAAAGCCTTTGCTGACTGATCCTGTAAACCTCATTGCATGAGGCATAAGAGATCGGTTGGCAAAGGCTTTCCTGGCCAACCGATCCCCGTCTTGACTGCCAGTTCGTACTGACAAACAGCTGAGCTGGCACAACATGGCGGCCATTTTTATTCTAATGAAGTGGGGGATATTTAAATCCCCGCTTCATGGACTATGTTGATATGTCTAATTTACGTGCCACTGGCGACAGAGGCATGTAGTCTAGATATACCCATAGACTTTATGGCCAAAAGCGAACATCATGATGACGTAGTCTGACCTCCTGCATTTTGGGGGTCACAAAAACTTACTCAAGTACTCCTGTAATAGACCATAACCTTAAAGTCCTCAAATGATGATTGAAAGATTTCAAGTTGCAGAGAATCCACCATTTACACTAATTTAAGTCTGTAAGTGACCCATGCCACATGCTGCAGAGGAAAAGTGTCTTTCAAAATTTCTTCCTGACCCTAAATATGCCAATCAGTTAGACCCAGAGCATGTGGGCAGGACGACCAGTCAGAGACCTAGGAAAGAATTCTCTATCGTAACTCAGAGCCCTCCCCATCCATTGTCCCATCATTGGCCTTTCACTTGCTATTAGCAGTCACAGATGGGAATGCCATTGTAAGCCAGTCTCATTCTACCAACCCTTCATAAACTTATCAAGGTCAGTCTTGAAGCCAGTTGTGATTTTTTGCCCCCACTTTTCACCTTGGAAGGCTATTCCAGAATTTCAGTTTTGTGGTGGTTAAAAACCTTTTTCTAATTTCAAGCCTAAACTTGTTTATGGCCAGTGGGTGAATATTGTGCACACAAACAGTTACAATTTTTTAACTCTGTCACTTTTTGACTCTGACCATTTTAGTGCAGTCATTTTTAAAAGCATATCCCATTCTTTTTATGGATGAGCTCCTAACATTTAATTTGCTAGGGCACCATGATCCTTATAAGAGTCCTGACTCTGTTGTGAGACAGAAGACTTTGTAGTACAGTAGCAAAAGTGGCATGTGCATGCCTGAATCCAAACAGCACCTGTGATATTGTAACAGGAAGAAGATTAAGAATCCCAAACTTAAGTGACAGGTGACCTGTTTTTAGGAAAAGCAAGAGACAAACTGAAGAGAGACTCAGGCCCAGATACACAATGGTACCATTGTGTTGCAACTAATAAGTTAGCTTAGCTCTTTATCTGGTCCAATTAATATTTATTTATTTATTAAAGTTCAAAATGGAATCTTTCTAAGCGAGACTGAAATAGACTCATCTCAATATATATTCCTTCCCCTCCCCAAGCAGAGGGAGGAACTGAATCATTTGAATACCTTAACTCCTGGACTAAATATTATAAGGGAAGCCACCTTCCACTCACTCCACTGCCATTTTATGTGGAGTTGGGTGTCTGGACTGGGCCCTGCAAGGGAACTAGGCAGGAAAATACCTATCTTCATCTGATCTGGGGATGGCACTAAGGCTTAGGCATCAGACTGGTGCCTGGATACCTGACTGAGGCAGCAGTGCACATACCCAGAGGTAGAAACTTAGGCCCCAAGGGAACTTTTTAATGAAAATTTAGGCACTGAGTGAATTTAGGAGCAGCCGAGCAGGGATTTATAAGAGTATAACAACAACCATACTGGGTCAGAACAAAGACCCATCTAGCCCAGAATCCAGTCTTCTGATAGTGGCCAATGCCAAGTGCCCCAGAAGGAATGAATAGAACAGGGACTTATCAGGTGATCCCTCCCCTGTCACTGTTTCCCAGCCCTGACAAACAAGGACTAGAAGCTAGGGATTATGGATCATAGTAGTGCCTAAATCTGGAGTTAGTAGCTTAAGTCCCTCAGTGGGACTGGGCCTCAAATCATAACCAGAACCCTGATTTTCTTACGTATTTACTTTGGATTTATGTATGAGTGAGTCATATTTGAACATTGTTTAGGCAGAAACCGTTGGAGCCAGCCAGTAGTCTTGTCTCAATAGTGTATGCATGAGTTCAGTACAGACCTGACCCTTTCAAGTGTTACGTGCTTCTAGAAAAGGTTTGAGCACCCTCAACTCACTAAAGTGTGGACCATTGAACATCCTGTATAGACTGTAATTCAATAGAATGCTTAAGCACGTGTAAGCCCTCAAGCACTGGAGTGGTCCCATTCAGGTCACTTCAATGAGGCAACTCACATGCTCAAAGTCTGCTGTTCTTCCCAGCGTGAACGGACAGACACACGACAGCTTTGCTTTGCACATTGAAGACTGAAGTGTTGCCAGGACTAGCACAGGCAGATCCCAAGGCAACTGGCCTGAATATAAACCCACCCAGACTAGCCCAAACTACCCCCTGTGCTCTATACAGCTACACTGCTCTTTTGAGAGTGATAGCTCAAGCAAAGGAGTGTGCGTGTCTGCTCACACTGAGAAACATGCTCCCAAATGCAGTGTCCGCATACCCTAAGTAGCTTGCTGAATCAGGTCCACAACTGGGTCTGTTGTAGGCAGAGGGGCCTACAGAGTTGCCAGGCCCCTGGTAAGATGAAGGGGGCATGGCTCTGTGCTCTCGGAAGGGGTAGGGACTTGGGTGGAAGGAGTGGGCTCGGTGCAGCACCACCTGGAATGCACCGTGCCTCCCTCCACAGCCAGCCCTCAGAGCAGCCCAGAGCGCACTGCATGGGGTTTTGGCAGCCATTTAAGGGGCCTGAGTAGCAGTGATAGTGGCCAGGAGCTCTGGGCCCTGACGCAGTTGCACCCTCCCCCCAGTCGGCAGCCTAATTGTAGATAGGCTTCTTTGTCTGGTTTCACATGAGATGAATATAAACAGGCTTGCAGGGCAGCAGTGGAAGAGGAGGTTAATTTGTTGGTAAAATGAACTTCCTACCTTCAGTGGCTACATCTTCAATTTTTACTTTGTGCTCATGAGCCATGTAGCCCAGTATAGAGAAAATTGCAAATCCTGAGATGAAACTTGTGACACAGTTGATTGTGCTGGTCAGCAAAGCATCCCTAATAGATGAGAGAGAGAGAGAGAACAATCGTGAAAAACACGTTAGGAAGTATGTAGGAATTGTATTATAATGTTAATAAGATTTTGGTGGAAAAGAGAAACATGCCAATCAAGTAATCATCCTGATGATCAAAGGCTCATACCAACATCTTGTGCTGAAGAGACCCACAGTTATTTCCTAATTGCTTTGAAATTAATCTGCGTTTAAAAATCTTAAAAATTATATTAAATTCTAGGATGGCCTGTGAGGCAGCAATAATGGAACAGGGAAGTAAGCAGAAGTGAAAGAAAGACTGGACTGTGAAGGGAATATTAGCAAATACCAATCCATATCTATAAACTCTTGTGAATGTTTTCAGGCAGTATCTGGTATACAATTTAGTGAACTTTGATGCCATTTTCAAGGTATGGCATAGAATCTGTCCATCAATTCTTCCAGTTAAGCAGACATTACAGCTAAGATGCATGGAAAGACCTTATCCAGCTCCCACTGAAATCCATGACAAAACTCCCATGGACCTCATTGAGATTGGAATATAACCTAACCAGCATCATTGTAGAATATAAAGAGGTAACCATCCCTTTAATCATGAATTTCACAAAAATGCTTATAACTTTACTATTAATCTATTATTGTTTTAGATCAGGGCTACTCAACACGTGGCCTGTGAGCCGCATGCAGCCCGCAGCCTGTTTCTTGTGGCCCGCAGTGAGGTTTAGGTTTACGTGGGGCTCAACAGGTGGCCCGCGGATGGGATCCTTTGAACATGGCCTAAACTGAGAACATGCTCCACAATGACAAGGCATGCTCCACAATGACAATGCTCAAGGGGTGAGCATTGAAAGAGGCAAATGGACGGAACAGATGGGTACAGGGTGTTGGTGTTTTTAGCCCCCAAGGAAGAGGTGCCGGAAGTGCCAGGGCATTGTGGAAAGTGCTTTGTATTCATGCTAATCAGTGTGCAAGAAGCTATTTGCATATATATTTTCAATGATAGGACCCACAAATCCATATGCCCAGCTTCAGCTCTAGAATAAGCAAACAACCCTCCTTTGAATCCAATAGTGTTATGCTCATTTATGTCAAGATTAAATCTGGCCATAGTTGTCAACATTAATTTGGAATGTCACCCCTGTCTTAATGCATGTATCACAACTGGTCACATGGTTTTGAAGTTCAAAATTTCATTGATAATTTTTATTGAAATTCCTAATGTTTACAGAAAAGGAGATTGGCCCTTCCCACCCTGCACCCCTTTTGTACTAGCTCTAGCATTTATTTGTGCTGCCTACTTTAATGATCATAACATTGATAATATGACAGTGGTCATAATTTGTTAGACATTTAATTAATAGTATGATGCAGGAGTCAGAGCCTAAGAATGTTTTCCCTCCTCTCCATTGTTAAATATCAATAACAGCAAGATTTTATATCACTCACTGCCTTTTGCAAAGCTGTCATCCTCATAATGACACCTGCAATATACCTCACAGGCTGTTTGCTGGAAACTGCTCTGTTCAATTTTTCTCTGACAAACGTGCCCTTCATAGGTATATTTTTTTTAAGTTTAGCCAGCTCTCCAATGCAAATGTACGGTAATTAATACAGCCTCTAGAGCATGGGAGAAAGTTCAACCTTAAACATAATTCCCCAATATTGTGAATGTTTGCAGCAGGTCAGTCTCCTAGCAACATGCTGGGCATAGCTGACCTTACCAGGAGCTGCCCTGCCTCATGGGCTGTACTTCCTGACTGCTGGGGGTAGCAGAGCTAATCTACATCTCGGCCCAGTAGTGGCCAGAACTTGCCAGCTTCTTTCCATGTGAGCTGTGCTGAACACAGTTTCCTGTGCCTTTTCTTTCTCCCCTCCAGCCTGTGCCTGCCCATGCCCAGCCTGATCTTGTTCCTACCTCAGTTCTTGCCTTTCCCCATCCTTAATGCCTTTGGCTCTGACCGCCAGCTCAGCTCTCCTGCTATGTCTCCTGCTAGTCCATTGTCTCTGGCATTCATCTTCTGACCCTTGTGTCTCACCCTTGGTCTTCTCCCATTTACACCCATGGCTGTCCTTTGGCTTTGATCCTTAACTTTAGCTTGGGTCTGCGTTAACCCCGAGGCCAGGCAATCCCTATGACTCTGACCAGTAGGCCCAACTGCCCAACTGGGCATTATCGTACAAGTGGCAATAACAACAAGCCTTATGAAAAATGTAATTAACATGTTTCATTGGCTTTTGCCATGACATGAACTCCATCCTAGAGAAGATTGTTCATAATGCTTTCATTATGCCCAAGTATGAAATATCCAGACTTCATGTTCACCCCCACCCCCAGATTAAAATCGAACAACTTACAACAGGGCTGTCAAAATAGATCTGTGTTAGAAGCAGATACAATGCAGTCTACTGTTGGACAAGGCCTTTAAAATTGGGGTTGTCAGTCATACCATAATGCTTTTGTTACTGATAGAGTTTGCCTTCACCAGAAATTTCTGCATCTGTTGCCATTGGTTAGCTCACTGCACCCATGACATGGCTGTATTCCTGTACTGGGGTGTGTATATAAGGCAGGAGTAGCTCAGGTCTACGTATTTTTAACGTTCTTAAGACTCCTTTCAGACAAAAGTTGCTAAGTTCATGTGAAATAGTATGACCAAGATCATTATCATTTTCCTCAATTCCAGAACATACACACGCAAGTAGCTTTTTCCATTTGCATGATCAACTGCACTCTTTACCTTATAAGTTACATTTTAAAACTGAAACAGTTACATGCAAAATACAGATGTTGACAACATGCTGCGTTGCACTCTGTGTTGCCTCTGTTTTATACTTGCATAACTATAGATTTCAATGGAGTTCATCTGACAAAAAACAGTTGGAGTAATGTAGTGATGAATCATGCCCTTTACCGGTATTTGGAAATACAATGCCAATTTACATTTGTTTAATTCTACTTCAATAAAGCCTTGCCAATGTAATAAAGATGTCACTGACATACTCCACAGTACTTTACCAAAGAATGGATTCACTGAAGTGTCAATTGTCTTTGAATTGAAGCTTGTTTACAGGATTAAAGATAAAACATAATATTTTAGAAACACTGCAGATCACTCTACAATACAGCAAGAGTGATTCTGGTAAACAACATAAGACAAGTGTAATAAATTTAGCACAGTGTAATGTAATTTTGGGTATTGCCGAAGGCATTTTTTTAAAGTTCCAGAGTATTTCTTTTTCTGTTTCATGGCAAATTTACTCAGGATCCAAAATAAAACAATTATGTCAGAAATATCTTAAAGGCAGGCTTCCTAGAAACCTATAAGATTAATGTTAATCTAATTGTAGAATGCTGCGATTGCCACTTTAGAGAACAGCTATTATTAAGGTGTCAGTTTTGCTACAACATTACCCATATTAATGTCACCTAACATGAACACACACGTGTGAATCTAAAGTCACAGTGGGCTTGGTCCAAAGTTCATTGAAATCCCTCCATGGACTTCAAGAGGCTTTGGATCAGGCCTTGTGTTCAGAGAATTGAACACATTCAACAGACTACCCCAGTGAACGAAAAATGATATAGTCTATTATAGAGGCTGCTATAGGCATGTTTGTTAAAGACACTGCAAGTGCCCATTTTCCTCTTAATGGTAATATGTATCACTACTCTATTCCAGCAAATATGAGGAAAGCTAAATATTTCTATACCAAGTTTAGCATTCAAGTGTCACAGCAGGTCTGTGCAAGCCTTTTTGGTGAGATCTGTGACTAGACTAAAGACCCAGGCAAGGACTAAGGATTCCTTATACCCTTACATGGGCTTCATATCCACTTTCTCCCCTTCTGGGCAGGCTGCTGGAGAAAAGTGGGGAATAGGAAGAGTGTTGGTTCTACCCTACTGCCCAGCCTATACCAGCGGCAAACTACTACACATCTACAGTAGGAGGAAGCAGTGTGGCACTATTACTGAGAAGTCTGTCTCCAACATGCTGCCTCCTGGGATGGCTCAGCTTATGCATCACTCAGGGCTGTTTCTACAGTCACCCCCAAGCCCTTTGCTTCCTAGCTTGTACCAACAGATATTTTAAAGGGAGCTACTGTAGGTAGTAGTTAATACCCAACCCAAGACTATCTAACATGCAGTGATTTCTTGGATGCTTTTCATTATAGGTATTTTCAGTCACTCCAGCATATTCCGCTGGTCGGGCTACACTACGGGAACTCCATTTTTATTCTTTTTCCAATAAAATATTCTGGATTCAAATCCAAATTTTTGAAAAACTGGGTGACAAGCCTAAACTGGGTTACAAGCAAAGAATTATTAAACCTAAAAGACATTTTAGAATGTACTTGTTGCTCTTTGAGATTTCTACACTTCTCTTAGCTTGGGCATTTCAAAGAGACTAGTCAGTTTGACTCACAAAAGTTTATACACTCACTAACACTAGGCAAATGAAATGTCTAAGAACATGAGTCCTTTAAAATCAAACAAGCCAAAGTAGCGGGAAGATACTTTATTTAACATTTGTACAAAAAAAGTATTCCTTTGGTAAAAATCTTTCAAAATCCCATTTTTTTTCATTTAGCTCCATTCTGTAGATATTTTCAATCAGAGTGTAGCAGACAAGCATAGAACAGTTAGAACACACATTTAAATAACCTGCATTAATATGTAAAGTGACAGTATCTGTCTCTTGCTGTTTGTACAGTGTTTCCCACAATGGGACCTCCAACCCTGGTTGGGACCTGTGTGCACTATGGCCGTGGTTCAGCAAATCATGTGTACACTTGTTGAACTTGAACTATGTGTTTTGCTGAATCAAGGCCAACTGGAAAAAAAAAATCACAAATAGGTAATCTAAAACATAAGAGTCCTTTAGGATTTAATGCTAAAACTACCATATCTGTTAACTTTGAACATCTTCCTGCTGCTCTGGGATTGTGGACCAATCTGATTTCATTTCATATTCTCTCACTTCTAGTGCTACTTGTGAAAGACAAATTTAATGGCAGTTTACACAGCTATCTAAAGTCTAAAATTGATCTTGTACTTTTGTACAGGAGAGTCAATAACTTTATATGTTCTTAATGTTCAGTTTTTAGTAAAAGGTAATTTGGGTTTGTTTGGTTCCAGTTTTGGCTTAGGTCATATCCAAATCAGACTGCCCGTCAAAATTAAAAACCGTAATTAAGCAAAGTTTGATGCACATTAAATTGTATAATTTCTACGGCTAAATAATAATAATAATAATAATAATTAATAAATAGAATATATCAGTTACTTATGTAATATGCTATAACATAAAATTGATATATTTTATTATATTATAAAAATGCTGTATTAGAACTTAAGAACATAAGAATGGCCATACTGGGTCAGACCAAAGGTCCATCTAGCCCAGTATCCTGTCTGCTGACAGTGGCTAATACCAAGTGCGACAGAGGGAGGGAACACAACAGGTAAACATCATGTGATCCCTCTCCTGTCATCCATTTCTAAACAAACAGAGGCTAGGCACACCATTCCCACCAACCTTGATAATAGCCATTGATGAACCTAACCTCCATGAATCTAGCTAGCTCTTTTTTGAACCCTGTTAAAGTCCTAGTCTTCACAACATCCTCTGGCAAGTAGTTCCACAGGTAGACTATGCACTGAGTAAAGAAAAACTTCCTTTTGTTTGTTTTAAACCTATTGCCTATTAATGTCATTTGGTGACCCCTACTTCTTATATTGTGGGAATAAGTAAATAACTTTTCTTTATTCACTTTTTCCACACCAGTCATGACTTTATAGACCTCTATCATATCCCCTCTTAGTCTCCTCTTTACTAAACTGACAAGTACTGGAATGGGTTACCGAGGGAAGTGGTGGAATCTCCATTCCTAGAGGTTTTCAGTCCCATCTTGACACAGCTCAGGCTGGGATAATTTAATTAGGGTTGGTCCTGCTTTGGGGCAGAGGGCTGGACTCAATGACCTCCTGAGGTCTCTTTCAGCCCTAGGATTCTATGGTTCTTCATCCAAGTCTTTTTAGTCTCTTTTCATATGGGACCCGTTCCAAACCCCTCATCATTTTTGTTGACCTTTTCTGAGATGAGCCAACCACATCTGCACACAATAAGATATTCTCTGTCTTTTATATAGAGGCAATAAGATATTCTGTCTTATTCTCTACCCCTTTTTTAATGATTCCAAACATTCTATTTGCTTTTTTGATTGCCACTTCACATTGAGTAGACTTTTTCAGAGAACTAGCCACAATGACTCCACAATCTCTCTCAAGTAGTTGTAGTAAAATTAGTCCCCAACATATTGTATATATATATTTGGGATTATTTTTTCAAATGTGCTTTACTCTGTATTTATCAACATTACATTTCATTTGCCATTTTGTTGCACAATCACTTAGGGAACGTCTACACTGCACGCTTATTTCAAAATAAGCTATTCCGGAATAGTTATTCCAAAATATCTTATTTTGAAATAGCACATCTATACTGCAGGGAAGCCTCAAAATTAGTCTGAGGCAGGCTTCCCTAATGTTGATGTGCTGTCTTGATTTAAAGCCCGAGGAGGCACTGACGAGGAATAACTTCGAATGGCCCTGTTGAGAGGATATTTCAAAATAGCAGCAGTAGAGCATCTACACACACCTTATTCCTCATAGAACGAGGTTTACAGATTTCAGAATAAGCTGTCAGTTATTTCAAAATTATTTTGAAATAACAGAATGGCTGTGTAGACGCTCACATTGTTATTTCAAAATAATGCTAGTCATCTTGAAATAACGGTGCAGTGTAAACACACCCTTAGTTTGGTGAGATCTTTTTGAAGCTGTTCACAGTCTGCTTTGGTCTTAACTCTCTTGAGCAATTTGGTATAATCTGAAATATATTATATTGGCTAGCATTATATATATATATATGAAGAAAATCCAGTGTCAACATGGAAATAGAGTTCTTCAATTGTGAAATATGTATAAAGAAATAAATACATAAAATTAGATTACATTCCAAATTTCTCAGCTATTTTATTGGAATCATGGTATCAGAGTTCTAGTAAAATGAGTCTGAAATTAAAGCTTTTTAAAATCAATTGTCACTATCAAATGGCAATGAGAAATAGATTCTCTTACCTATAACAGTTGTTGTCGAACTTATTGTAACTAGCAAATGCAATTAAAACTCCAAAACCCGCTCCTAAAGAGTAAAATATCTGAGTGGCTGCATCAATCCATACCTGCATAAAGAGATGAGAATAATTAAATGGGTTAGCTCAGTTTAAAAGCAAGTCTAGTGATGTGACATGGATATCTGTTGAAATAATATTTGATCATTCTCCATTACTACAGAACCATCAATATTCTCCAGCCCATCAAGAAGCAAAGCCTGGGATCCAGCCACAGACTGGAGTGGTTCAACACAGTGGCAAACACTAAAGCAACTCCAAAACCTAACGTGTGCACAGAGTGGTACTACAGGGATGCTGATTGTTTATTGAACTTCCATAGGGTACAGAAATGACTGATCAATGTATTTGCTGTGTTGAGGCAATACATTTCTCACTTTCACTTAGTTAATTTGAATTGCACAGTCAGAAATAAAAGTCGTCAATAGATCAGGAGTTATGGAATGTTTTCCTTTCCCACAGAAGCACTTACTGCAGCGACTGTAATTGCAGTTTACATGATGCTTTCTTCCACCAGATGCCAAAGTCTGATACACATGCTTTAAATGTGACTTGTGCAAAATATTCCTTCTCAAATCCCATTCATTTGAAGGGCTAAGGGCTATGAGAGTCATGAAATCCCATCTACTCAGTGTATGTCTACTCTATGAGACAAGATCAAATTAAGATATACAACTTCAGCTACGGTAATTGCATAGCTGAAGTTGAAGTACCTTAACTCGACTTTTGGCGCTGTCCACACTGCAGGAAGTTGAAGTGAGAACACTCTCCCTTCGACTTCCCTTACTCCATGTGGAAACAGGACTACTAGCATTGACCAGAGTGCCCCTCTCAGTTCTATTTAGCTGTCTTCACTAGACCCACTAATTCAAAGCCTGGAAGATCAACAGCAACAGCTTCGATCATTCTCATAGTGTAGACGTATCCTTAGACTGCATTTAGGCCAGGTCTGAAGACAATGTCTGGACTTTTACAATAGAAGCTTGAATAGGCAGAGGAATTCTTCTGAATTGTTTTATGAAGGTTTTTAAATCTCTCTTCCCTTGAGTATCACTTTGAGAAATCAAAAGCTCATGGCTCGATCCCAAGAAATATTGAAGTTCAGGGTACTCAGTACATCTCAGACTCAGAACATTTGGGGTTAGCTGAATCTGCCAAATGTAGCCTCAGGCTAAAACACCCCCAAATTACATGTGTTCTCCATCCAAAATCATAAATTAGTCCAACTGCATTCACTTGGCTGTTGAAAGTTCCCTCTGACTCTGGAACTTATCAGCATTCTAGGCTACATCTGGTGTGTTGGGTCAATAGTGAACTCTCACCCAACACTCTCATTAACCTATTCCACCTGCCCAAGAGGAACATGATGATGAACTGCAGTAAAATGCAGCATACCTAAGGTGTGAGCTACAGCCCATTGAAACCTATGGAAGTCTTTTCTCTGATTCGAATTGGATTTGGATCATGAGGAATTTCCACAGAAGCAAGAAGTTGTTCTCTACAAATGGAGTTTACTCAGATTAGAGATGTGAAGAAAGGTTAGGGATGCAAAAAATTCATTTTTCCTAGCTCCCGTCCCCTAGCACCCATCCTCTACTTATGCTTCATTGATGACACCTTAATCATATGGACCCATGGGAAGAAAACTCTTGAAGAATTCCACAGGGATTTCAACAATTTCCACCCCACTATCAACTTCAGCTGAACCATTCTGAACAAGAGAATGGAATACATCCACCCTCCTTAATTAGCTTCATTAACACAGGCCCTACAATTGACAACTGCTTTTGCTGTTATATTTACCTTGGGTTCTGTATTTTCCACTACAACTCATCTGAATGAAGTAGGTGTTACCCACAAAATCTTATAAGCTAATAAGTTTGTTAGTCTCATAATGTGCCACAGGACAATTCTTTTTTTTAAATATACAGAGTAACACAGCTACCCCTCTGAGACATTTTACCTAGAGTGTTTGTTGAGCAAAAAACTCTACGATGTATTGATATCAACTGCTGGTGCTAGTAGCACTCAGCATCTCACTTGCCGGAAAAGTTCAACAAAATCTAAACACAAGGGCTGTGTCTAGACTGCATCCCTTTTCCGTAAAAGGGATGCAAATTAGACATATCGCAATTGCAAATGAAGTGGGGATTTAAATAAAAATGGCTGCTGCTTTTTTCCGGTTCGGAGCTTTGCCGGAAAAAAGCGCCAGTCTAGACACGGATCTCTCGGAAAATAAAGCCTTTTCTGAAAGATCCCTTATCCCTCTTAAAATGAGTTTAGACTGGCGCTTTTTTCCGGCAAAGCTCCGAGCCAGAAAAAAGCAGCAGCCATTTTTATGCTAATGAAGCAGGGAGGATTTAAATCCCCGCTTCATTTGCAATTGCAATATGTCTAATTTGCATCCCTTTTACGGAAAAGGGATGCAGTCTAGACACAGCCTAGGAGATTTTAAAAGTAAACTATATTTGGGAATGGCATAATAACTCCACAAGGGACTTGTATTGCTTTATGATAGGTCACTGGCTCTTTATTACTTTGAATACATCCTATCATGGGATTTGTAGCTGCTTACACTTGTTCTGCTTTTTTGTTCCAATTAAAAAGCACTTAGCTTTAAGGTGACTGAGCACATGCTGTACAGGGATGGATTTAAGCATGGACGCAGAATTAAGCATGTGCTTTTGTGCCTTCCTAAATCTGAAACGTGGATTGAAATATTCCTGTGTTATCTCCATTAACTGCTGTGCAGACTGAGATAAGGAACAAGCAGGAGAAAACTGGAGTCACTAAAAAGTCAAGGTTCCATGCAAAATATTTCTTGTAATAACGAACAGGATGCAACAAAGAGACAATGGAGCTAGTTTCTTCCACAACTTACACTGATGTTATTTTTACTAATTTCAATAGTGTTACTTCTGACTCATGGCATGATCCAGTTTCACTGTATCCTATAGTATTTGAATTGGTACACACAAAGTATGTACCAATACAAAAAATTCTGAGAGGCTGCATCTTTCACTTCAAGATTCCTTCCTGTTTATATTATTATAACTTTTGTTTCTACACATTCTCATCCATGTCTGAACTTGCAATATTACTGCACAATACAGAGAGGAAGGGGAAGTAGTAAGAGAATCCCCAGACATGATGTAGTATTCAGGAAACATCTTATGACGTCCAGAAGAGCAAATGCCTCCTTCCTGGCCTAGAATACTTGATGACTCTGATTTTATTAATCACTCACCGATGTTCCTTTCGTGGGAAAGAAGTACAGCTGACATTTATACAGATTTTTAAATGAATCGCTTGCTTTTTGTGCAATGGAGCCAACAGAATCAAGCTTTGTGCTACTGAACTATCAGCAAGGAATTCATGTGGGCCCTATATTCCTTTAAGATTTCTTCTAAGCAATATTTCTATCTGTATTCTTGATGGGTCTGATCCTGCATAGTGCTGGTGTTTTGGCAATGGAAGTCTCCCAAGAGTAGCTGAACACTTTGCAGTAGTGAGCTCTGTATATTTTTGGTACGAGGGAACCTTATGCCTTTTACACAAAGGCTGTTGATTGCTTGGCAAAGCATATTACAGGCAGTCCCCGGGTTACGTACAAGATAGGGATTGTAAGTTTGTTCTTAAATTGAATTTGTACATAAGTCGGAACTGGTACATATTGTACCCCAGGTGTCCCCGATTCAGCCGCTGCTGACCAGCGGCTGACTACAGGAAGCCCGAGGCAGAGCTGCTTTGCCCCGGGCTTCCTGGAATCAGCCGCTGATTAGTTTCAGCAGCGGCTGAATCTGGAGCCAGTTCCGACTTACATACAAATTCAACTTAAGAACAAACCTATAGTACCTATCTTGTACGTAACCTGGGGACTGCCTGTATATAGAGGAAACTGACTACACACAGTATTATCCATTATACAAAGTAATCAAACTAGAAAAATGTGAAAACTATTTTTCAGTTATAGCATTCTTAGGTAGTACATATAACACTACTGACTTAAATGTGGGTGTTTTTTTTTAAATTTCTCAAAAATGCATCTTTAAACATATTGTCTCTACAGTTGTTTCTTACAGGTTTAATAAAAAGCTCTGGATTGACAGCTCGGAACAGGGTGGTTGTTCGGACACCTCTGAGTCCTGGAATTCGACTGTCTTTCTCTTTAGGTGCTTCTTTTTTAATATCTGGTGGCTCAGGTGCTGAGGACATCTTAATTAAAGATGTGTCGTTACCTAAAGATAAGATTAAAAATACATTTTTAATACTGATTTTGAAGAAAATAATTAATGATTCATAGACCAGTGCTGTTTCAGCATTATATTCTTTGCTCATGCCAACTACTGTCTTTGGTGCTTCAAGATTATGCCACTCAAACTTGGATAACTGGTTGTTGGTCTCCTACATCTGGTGATTCTGTACATTATCTTCTTTACCTTAAGAATTTAGTTTGGGGGAGCCACTGTCTTTTTGATCCCTAGTGAATGGTATTCATCATCTTATTTGGTTTGGATACTGTATTCCGAAATGGGCCAAAATTGCGACTTGTTTTCATACTGAAAATTAATGTCAAACCCCAAATCCATGAAATATCTTTAAATATGTTTAGGACAAGTCAGTTAACATTATAGAACGGCACCATTTATTTGTGACTATTATTTGTTGCTGTTCTTCACTAGGGAAAAATGTTAGTACTTCAAAGGCTCTTGCAGAAACACCCTGAATTGGTTCTTCGGCAGCCATCAAATCTCCCAGAGGCCCAGAAATAAGAATTAAGCGCACCAACATGTCAAACGAGACAGCATGGGATTGCAGAAAGAATTCTGCAGAACGAATAACACAACAGGTATCTTGGCCTTCCTTCCTCTTCCTTCTAAGGATACGTCTACACTGCAAGCTTATTTTGGAAAGCGCTATTTTGGATATCTTCATTCCCATCTGATCATTATTATCTACTAGCAACTGCTCAATGTAAAGGCCCAGAAAACAACCAGATTTGACCAACTATTTTCCCAACATGCAGTGGCTCTCCATCTGCAAACAGCTGATGCATCTTGTCTTTGCATCACCTCATGATAGAGTTGTACAGTTTCTTAGGGACCAGAGTTGTGTGGCTCCATCCTGATACAGCTCCCTGCTGCTCTCCTCCACTAGCAGAAAGTCAGGAACTGAGCACCCTGGAGTTACTACTATAATATTTATGTTCCAAGAAATATAAATACATCATTTTAAAAATGAACACTAACAATTTAATGACAGCTTCCATCTCTAACTCAGACAATCGTTAGGAGGTTCTGTGAGGGCTATTATTTCGTTATAGGAAGCGAAGATGGAAGAGAGAACTTACCGTGGCTTCTTTTAACCTTCTGAAATCTATGTGAAGGTAAGCATTTATTCCATTGTATGCACCAGGCAATGTGATTCCATGGATTAACAATACAAATAATACAACGTAAGGCAAAGTGGCTGTGATCCACACAACCTGCCAGGGACAAACAGACATCAAATGTCAAATAATCTACTTTTACACAAACAGGAAGTTTTATAAACATGTTGGAGAATACAACTGTCCCTTTGTTGCGTTTATCTCTTCTGTTCTCTGGAGGATATTTTGGTTGTTTATCATAAGGGTCATTGTCCTAGAAGAAAAGAATTGCTAGTAACAGTCACACAGACTAGGAAAAGCTAAAGTATGATATGGGTTAGGCAAGTAAGATACGTCAGCAGTGGAATGACTATGTTATGTTATTTTGTCCTTTTCATATGTGTTCATTTTTTTAATTGTATCCTTTGGTATATATGGTTGTGACTATTTTCTTCCACTATTTGATCTGAGGAAGTGGGTCTGGCCCACGAAAGCTCATCATCTAATAAACCATCTTGTTAGTCTTTAAAGTGCTACATTGTCCTGCATTTTGCTTCAGCTACCCCAGACTAACACGGCTACATTTCTATCACTATGTTATTAATGATTGTATTAAACTGAGCAAGCTCAGTTTGAATGATTTCCAGAAGCATAAGTAGATTCAAGAAAGATATTTGCTGTAAACACCATAGAAATATACATAGCAACCACAGACAGCAAGACTTCTCATATGTCTTCCTGGGCTAGGACTTCTGGAAGTTAACAATACACTGAGATTGATTCATCCATCATAAATTACCAAGAAAACTTCCATCAGGGAGGTTAAATATCAACGTGAAAATAAAGAAATGCTAGTATTCACTGAATATAAATGGCACAAATAATGGGTTAACCCTAATGTTATAATTAAAAAGCCAAATAAAGAGAGGCAGTGCATTGGACCACATCATTTAAGTTAAACCATGATGTGAACATTAACTGATGAAAACTGTTCAGGTGACAGCTAATTTATCAAAGTAAAAAATATTCTGAGGTTTGAAAACTAGACACTCCTTTTCAGCAAGTTAATAGAGTTTCATCAAGGTTCCAGGTCTTATTTCAAAATATCCAAATGGTGTTTAAGTAAATATCCCATGGTTTTATTTCAGATGTTGAAGTACTTCAAAGAATAGTTGCCAACATCTTTGGAACTGATAAAGCATTTAAATTAGAATGGATATTTGTTTAATAAAAGCAAAGGGCCCTTAAACAATACAATGAAAGCTTTAAACAGGATAAGCAGAAAACAAGAGACAATCTTTAACCTTTCGCCAAAGCAAACTAAAGTCAAAGGAAAGACTCACCCATTGACTTCAATGGGCTTTCTATCAATACTAAATACGTAACTTACATTAAATATTGATACTAAATGTAAAAAACTAAAAGATTTTGCATTACTGGATATCAATTGAGCAAAGATGACATAACTGCTGAGAGAGATAAAACAGGAACTGTATTTGAAATGTCCACTCTATAAAAACAGATATACAAAGATTTAACCTAAAACTTTGGTCCTGGTGGTATTGTAAGGTACAATGACTTACAATCTCTCTTCTTTCCCCCTTCACACACACAAAATCACTTTCTAAACAAGTATAAAGAACAATACTGAGATATAAGGGCAATATTAGCTCTACCTTTCCTGAAGTCTTCACTCCTTTCCACAGACTAAAGAAAAGAATAATTACTACCACCAAGAGGCATAGTGAGAGCTGCCATCGGGGTGAGCCAAGGTCATGGATTCCACTGCTTTCATGTAGATGCAGTACACCGCGTCTAGACACAAGAGGGGAAAAGACACCCAAAACAAATACACAAAAAGGTAAATATTTAGTGTTTCTTATCCTGTGGGCTACACATAGACATGAAAACTAAATGACAACATTAGTGGCTTCTCTGGTGGATTTAGTTTTATCTAAAGCTAGTCAATGTTTTGCATATTCAACTAACAAAAAAGTTATTTTTTTCTGTTTTAAATCAACCACAGTTTTTTAGAGATGTGATTTTATAATCTTCAGCAACACACTAATGAAATATTTTTAAAGCAAATTTTAAACGAAAGTCCTGTGAACTGACAGTGTATACCTGGGGTTGGCAAATGCCTGGTAAATGGCTTCATTATCATTTGAATGCCTCTTTTACAGGATCAAAGTTCTGCTATTTGGTCAGACAGGCTTTTTCACTTTTAAGTTAACTAGATCCTCTCCAGAGGAAGCAAAGTCACAGAACAGGGATAGATACAGCCAGGGGAGTGGACCTTAGGGATGTTAAAGACTAGTCGATTTTCCTGCCCCCCCCTTGCTGCCTCTATGAGATTGAGACAGCCAAAGGGGGTGGGAAAAAGGGGAACTTCAAAATGGCAGCCTGTGCGGCACTGCGCTTTGAAACCCCAAGGCGGCGTTTCAAAAAGGCAGCCGCTGCACAGCTGATCCACGTGTTTCAAATGGGCAGCCATGGAGCGTGGGGTCAGCTGGGGAGTCCACAGCTGATCCTGGGCTCTGCACAGCATTTCCCAAGAACCCACGGGCAGGGCGAAGGAAGCTTTGCACAGCTCCCCCGCCCCCAGACCCTGATTGGCCTGGGAGCAAAGGAGCACGCATAGCCTCCTCTGCTCTTCCCCCCTGCCCTGCGAGCAGCTCCTGGAGCTTCAAAGCACCACATGCTGCTGGCGGGGTGGGAAGAGGCTTCATGCACTCCCCTGACCCCAGGACAATTAAGGCTTGGGGGCAGGGGAGTACACGAAGCCTTTTCTGCTCTGTTCCATCCTGTGGTCATCTGAAGAAGTGGGTTGTGCCCACAAAAGCTTCAGGCTGAAGGATCTGCAAAAGCGGCGAGGAGTCCTGTGGCACCTTATAGACTAACAGAAGAATTGGAGCATAAGCTTTCGTGGGCAAAGACCCACTTCGTCAGATGCATAAGCTTTTATCAGGTGGGTCTTTGCCCACGAAAGCTTATGCTCCAATTCTTCTGTTAGTCTATAAGGTGCCACAGGACTCCTCGCTGCTTTTGCAGATACAGACTAACATGGCTACCCCTCTGAGGCTGAAGGATGTTACTATCAGAGACTTTGCAGTCTCGTTCTGGCAGATTTTATGTTTGACCTTTTACTGTTATTTTGGAAGAAGTACAGGTTTGGCTTTTCGGGTCTGGAAAGTAGCTCTCCCCATAGGCAGTTCCTCTGCCGTGCCCTACCCTGCCCAAAGTTTGTTGATGCAGCAGTGCTATGGCTGACTCTGCTAGTCCTTGCCCTAGATCACTCCTGGAAGTGTCCCCCCCGCCCCCCCAGAAGGTGGCGGGGGGACCTCCATGCACTGCTCCCACCTCAGGCAACAACTCCACTGCTGGCAACTGTGGCCAATGGGAGCCGCGGGGCAGAGCCACTTGGCTCTTGTTAAGGGACCACAGAGATGGAGTGGAAGATTCTGGGAGCAATACGGGGGCAGGGTAGGCAGGGAGCCTGTCTTAGCCCCACTTCACCACAGACTGCAGCTCAGAGCTGCTTGAAGTAAGTGCCATCCAGCTGGAGCCTGCACCCTGACCCCTCCCACACTCCAACCCCCTATCCAATCCAGAGCTCCCTCCCCAACCTAAACTTCCTCTCTGAGCCAAAATCCCCTTCTACATCATAACCCTTGATCCAGCCATTATTCCTCTCCCTCATTTCACCAGGGCTGTCTCTAGACTGGCAAGTTTTTCCAGAAAATCAGCAGCTTTTCCAGAAAAACTTGCCAGCTGTCTACACTGGCCACTTGAATTTCCGGAAAAGCACTGACGATCTCATGTAAAATCATCAGTGCTTTTCCGGAAAAACTATGCTGCTCCCGTTCGGGCAAAAGTCTTTTTCCGGAAAACTGTTCCGGAAAAGGGCCAGTGTAGACAGCACAGTAGTGTTTGCCGCAAAAAAGCCCCGATCGCCAAAATGACAATCGGGGCTTTTTTCCGGAAAAGCGCGTCTACATTGGCCACGGACGCTTTTCTGGAAAAAGGGCTTTTCCGGAAAAGCATCCTGCCAACGAAAATGCTTTTAAAAGTTTTCCGTTAAAAGCATTTTCGGAAAATCATGCCAGTGTAGACGTAGCCCAGGAGTAAGGGAAGCTGAAGGAAAAGGGATCCCCCTTCGTCTCCCTGCTGTGTAGCCAAAAGCCAAATTAAGCTGTTTTGACTTCAGCTATGCATTTGATGCAGGTGAAGTTTCATAGTTTAACTTGACATTATCACTATGTGTAGACGTACCCATAGTTATTTATATTAGTTCACCTCTGATCTTGGTCCATCATATCCCCATTGTGAGGTATTTTACACAGGAGTCCTTTTTTGAACAGTTGAAGTGTCAAAGCTCAAAAAGGTAACCAGAGAAAAAGAAAGAACACTTCATATCCAGATGTGAAAGTCACGATATTGTCAATTCAAATATTTTTAACCCTAACCTGAGGGTTAGGCAGGGGGCTGGACTCGATGATCTCCTGAGGTCTCTTCCAGCCCTAGGATACTAGGATTCCACGAGACAAAATAAAAACTAAAGCTTTCAGACCAAAGCATGTGGCGAGATCCTCAGTAGCCTATTTGTGTGAGTACCTCCTATTGAGACATTCACAATGCTGTGTTATGCCAATAACTGCATTTACTGTGCAAGCAAATTGCCTTGAGTATATTAAAATGGAGGGTGGGGTTCCAGCCCCTGTCCAATGAGAATTGCAGATTCAATTAAACAGCTGGTTTTGCCATTGTGATGCAGATGGCAGATCCCACACAGAGACTAAGGGAATGAAGGAACAGCGCTGGATTAATAGGGGCCCGCCCTTCTGCAGCTGTAGAACACATGCCAAATGGATGATCTGCTTAGAAGGGGACTCCCACAGCCAAGCAGGAGGGAGAGGGAAGGAGAGGATGGCTGAAGAGAGGAAGGCAGTTTGCAGCCCTGGGGTCAGAACAATCCACAGGAGAAGAGTCTGGCTGTGGATAAGACCCCCAACTGAGGGGGTAAAGACCTGACCCTTTCCCCCTCCCTGCTGAAAGGTTCTCAACCTATTTACCTGCTGTGAGTAGCTCTTCTATGTTATGTGGGCTGCGTGCACACACACTCTCTTGGCATTCAGGATGTCACATGGGCTGCACGTATGTGTGGACTGGGCCACAGGCTGAGAACCACTGCTGTATGTAAACTACAGAAAATAGTGTTCCCTCTTAATTACACTTATTATTCAATTTAAAATATGCTTATTCCTGCAATTGGAAGAATCACTTAAATGTATTCATCAGGTTGTGGTCACAATTTTAATATAATTATTGGTGCTGCTTTCCTTGAACATGTAATGCACTGTGTTTACTATGAAGTACCTACAAAGACACAGGTAATTTATCCGAGGCTGGTATATTATAAACTTCTGGTTGATCTAAATGAAATGATATTAGATCTGATGACTGTTAATCCTGATCTGATAAATGGCCTCCTTGGGATTTAACTTTTCACAGAGAATATTAATCCCAAACCACTGAAGCTTGTGCTCTACTTCGTGTTGCCATTTAATTATTAATACTCCCTTGTTATGTGTACAGTGCTTAGGCACATTAAAGTTTACACTGCACTGTGAAGCACCTGCTTGTTAAATCTGATTCAAACACCAACTCTCTTGAGGCTTTCTAATAAAAATAGAACACCTTGATTTAACCCCTTGCTGCTCTAATGAATAGCAGATACAACAAGTGAGGCATGCAAGCTTATGTACAAGTTCTTTAGAAATAAGAAGCAAACCAGCAAGAGAATCTCAGGAAGCTTCATGTGCTCCCAAGTATGTAGCATTTCTGGCTGCTAATGGAGTATTCCTTGACTAAGGGTACGTCTAGACTACATGCCTCTGTTGCCAGGAAAATGAAAATGAAAATAGGAAAATGAAGCGGCGATTTAAATAATCGCCGCTTCATTTAAATTTACATGGCTGCTGCGCTGAGCCGACAAACAGCTGATCAGCTGTTTGTCGGCTCAGCGCAGCAGCCATGTAAATTTAAATGAAGCGGCGATTATTTAAATCGCCGCTTCATTTTCCTATTTTCATTTTCATTTTCCTGGCAACAGAGGCATGTAGTCTAGACGTACCCTTAGTCAAGGAATACTCCATTAGCAGCCAGAAATGCTACATACTTGGGAGCACATGAAGCTTCCTGAGATTCTCTTGCTGGTTTGCTTCTTATTTCTAAAGAACTTGTACATAAGCTTGCATGCCTCACTTGTTGTATCTGCTATTCATTAGAGCAGCAAGGGGTTAAATCAAGGTGTTCTATTTTTATTAGAAAGCCTCAAGAGAGTTGGTGTTTGAATCAGATTTAACAAACTCTTACCAGGCAGATCCTTAACCAAAATCCAAATCCTGCAATGAGCTCAAACCTACATCTATATGGAGATCCTGTGATTTCCATGAGGCTGCATTCAAGTCCAAGGATTGGGTAGGATAGAGCTCATTGTAGGGCCCAAATGTATGGGATGTATGATGAGGACATGAACACACACATCCTCCTCATGTTATGGCTAAAGTTTGCTGTAAAGCTAAACTGAGGAAAGGCCACATAGAGAGGTTCTGCCTAAAGTTCTCAATTTCAAACATAGGAAAAATCAACAGGAGCTCTAGAGCTGATCACAGAATCATAGAATACTAGGACTGGAAGGGACCCAGGAGGTCATTGAGTCCAGTCCACTGCCCTCATGTGATGCAGCTGTTGTAATCCTTTGTGGAATAAGAAGCAGTCACTCAGAAAGATACTCTCACCAAACCACATCAGGCTTTATTCCTGAAAATTAACACTTTGGATTGCTCCCAGAAGTTAATGGAAAATGAGTATAGTGGGTGCCAGACACGTGTCATCTACTGCTGTTAACTCTTTGCAATATACCATTGCTTAGAGTTCCTCTAGAAACTTAAAACTAGCACTGATGTAACCCCTGGTTTCAGGTTTTCCTATACATTCTAAATTCAGATTGGGTTTCCTAAGGCTCATGAACCCTTCAGATAGGAAATTGTCATAGTTGACCAGCTCTATGAACATGCATGATGAATGCACGTTTAAATGACATTGTTTGCTTTGTGCTCACCTTTCATTTATGTTCCCCTTGCTGTGAGTACGCATCAAACAAATTTTACTGATGTGAATTGTTGTGGAAAACAAATACCCAGTTGTGCATGAAAGTATTTGAGGGAAAGTGATTTTAAATTTCAACAAGTATTTGTACCACGAATGCTTGCACACTAATCAAACAAACAATTTGCTAAAATATTTCTGAATAGCTAATAAGCCTGAGGCAACTTGCCCTTCGAGTGACAGAAGACAGTGAGATGCACTGGATAAACAATTCAATATGAGGCCTGATCAAAAATCCACTGAAGTCAATGGGAAGCTTTTCATTGCATTCAGTGGATTTGGAAGACACGGGACAGGCACAAAAAGCTAGAACCAAGCACATTGTTTGCATGAGTCTCTCTGAAGGAAAAAGTCTCCACAGTTACCCAGCCATAACCTTTGTCAGAAACATATTGAAATCCCTCCTTTTCAGAGACCATTCCAAAGAGGTATGAGAGCCAGAAAAATCATCATGACCCTCTCTATTTCCTAGCTCCCATCAGATTGTATTTAGGATCTGGCTGTAACATGAGTTCGGGAAAACTCTTTGAGAGAATCAAAAATGAACAATGCCGAATGCACTTATGAACTAGGTCAGTCTTGTTACCGGCTAAACAGGGTATAACAGTTGCTGACAGCTGCTGACTCTTTAGCTTAACATGAGGTAGGATTTTTCTTCTCATGGAACATATTCAACAGAACATTTCACAGGGAGGGAGGGAGGGAGGGAGGGAGGGAGATTATA